TGAAGGGCAAGACTCGAGAGGCAGGCTTTGAGAGGCGGGACCTATGATAGCTTTGGAGCCGGTTTCATCGAGGTTTGGGGGGCCGTCACGGGGGGCGGGGCCGTCCGTCGGTCAGTTTCCACGTTGGTGACCAGAGTCAAGTCTAGATAGGGAGGAATCTGAATTGGAGGGGTGTGCCCTAGAGGAGGGTTCACAGCGCCTTCCGGTGATCAGCTACAAAGGTCAGATAACCAGGGAGGAGGTGAGTTCCAAGTGAGGACTGAGGAAGAACCAGTGGCAGGAGCGATAGATTTTAATGAGAGGTGACAGGGTCAGAAACTAGAGTTACGGGTCTTGGACCAATGAGGGAAAGAGTCAGTTGGAAGGGAATGAGGTTCAGAAAGAGATAGAGTCTAGTGAGGAAGTGGTGTCCAGGACAGCAGGTCAGGGGACCATGGGAGAAGAGGCATGGTGGACGGCTGAGCTGAAGGATGGTGCCTAGAGGTCTAGGAAGGAGAGCAGAGCCATCCGTTCTGAGAGCTGGGCTGATGAATGGCAGACTAGGCCCAAGAACAGATCTAGTGCTCAAGGACGGAGAGGGATCCAGTAGAGGGCGGAGGGTAGACTGGGTCCAAGCAATGTAATGAAAGGACTTTACCAAGAGAGGAAGTAGGCCCTTGGAGTGGGGTTGGAGAAGGAGCATGTCAAACTGTGAAAGTATGGAATGAGGATCCTGAACTGGGTTCAAGAAGGAACAAGCCCACCCTGGGAGACGAGTGCCCGCACTGGCCTGAAGACAGGCCTGCCTCCGGAGGCCTGGGGACAGTGGGTTGTAGTGGACTTTTGGTGCCAAAGAAGTTTGCAGACTGGAAAGATGAAGCCTAAGAAGGGATGTATTGGAGGTGGAGCAAGTGAAACAGAGAAGCGGGATTGGCTGGAGGATGGAGCCACCTGGGTGGATGGAACCTAAACCAGTCAGTTCCCAGCTAGGAAGACCTTTGGCATTATACCCGGATCACTATTGCATCCTAGGACTCGCAGGTCTGTCCGAAACATTGTGGGAAAGCCCTCTGTCCAACATCCTTGTTCTGGGCTTGATTTGTAGGCCTGGCTGATGCCTCCATGGAACACTGACACACATGGTCCCTTGTGCTCCACTGCTGCTGAGTGTGAGCCACTGAACACCGTTATCCACTCTGTGTGCAGCCTATCACCTTCAGAGGCACATGTAGTTCCCTCACTGTCCTCGGGTGAGAGAAGGCGTGACCCTCACCACCCCCGCTATGCTACAATGAGGGCCAGGACCTAGTCCCTTTGTAGCCACACCCTGCTGGTGGATGAGGTCCTCTGCATGCTGGGAAGCCCCCTCTTCTCAGGACAGCTGTCTTGTACCCAGCATCAAACCACTGGCACATGCCAAAGGAGACATCTGATGGCTGTTTGCAGGAAGGCTTGTGAGGCCTGGGCTTGTTCAAGTTCAGGATTATAAAGCGGAGTTGGAGGTTGGGTCACACAGAACTTGCACTCAGGTAGTGAAATCTGCCCTAAGGGAAACCCGTAATAACTGAGGCTAAGGCTCCACTGGATGGTAATCAAGAGAGGCCTCCTGAGGAGGTGGTGTCTGTGCTGGCCCAGAAAGATGATGAGGGGTAGCTAGGCATGGAGGATCTGGGGAATGTGTCCCCAGGAGGTACCACTGCTAAAGGCAAAGCTTAGAAGAAGAAGCATTCTGTGTGTGAGAAAGAACAAGGTAGAGGAGCTGCAGCCGATGCAGAGCTGGGGAGGCAGAAGATGAGCTCAGACAGGCACTGGGGGTTGCTTTGTGCCTGGGCCACAGTGGGGACTTTCTTTAGCTTTGATCCTAGAGTAGAACCATTGGAAGCTTTTCAACTGAGAAGAGATGCGTTCCAATTAATATTCTGAAACAATCACTTTGGTTCTGTTCGGAGAACAAACAAGAGGCATGAGAATGGAAGCAGAGATGTGCCAGAGAGCTGCAGATGTCTAGGCAAGTGCAGTGGCAATGGTGAGGAGACGGGGCTGGGGGTCTTCAGAAAGAAGACAGCTAAGTTTAGTGAGAGCATGCAGCCAGGACGTCTTGGAAGTGGCCTGGAGGGGAACATGAGGGGAACAAGGAGAGGATGGAGCTGGGGCTGTAGTTTAGCTGCTTTGGTGCTTGCCTGGCGTGAATGAGGTCCTGAGTTCCACCCCCAGCACCATGTGAACCGGATGTAGTGGTGCATTCAGTAATCCCAGCACTCAGGAGGGACAGAGCAGCAGGAGTTCCGGTCACTTCTTATTGTGTAGTTGATGACATATGAGATCCTGGAGGGGAAGGGGGGAGGTTCTGGCTTGGGGGTGCAAAGAAGAGGAGGCTTGTGAAGAGTCAGGAAATCTGCTTTTGACATGCAAGTTCCTGAGATAGTTGTGGAAATCCTGGTTTGTGGATGGTGCCTAGAAAGTGGGATGGCTTTGTCTGGAGCTCACGGGAACAGTTGTAACCAAAGACAAGAGCCTTGGGCACACTGCACAGAACTTCCTGCAGCGATGAAGATGGACTGTGTCTCCTCTATCCAGCAGGCAGCTGCAAAGCCACAGGCGGCCGCTGAGCACTTGCATGGTGCAGCTGAGGAACTACATTTTTTTTTTCAGTTTAATTTTAATTTGAATAGCTACACATCGCTAGTGGCCACCATACTGGATAGTGCTAGAGACAATATTTAAACCCATGGTGCTAAATGACCTTTGCTAGGGAGTGTGGACAGAAAAGGAAAGAGAACACCATAAAGACTGCTTACATTTATGTGGGGTTCTGACTGAGGAACAGAGGCCAACAAAAGGAGACAGAAATGGGGGACATGGAGGCAGGAGGGAAATGAAAGGGAGGAAGCGTACCCTTCAGCATCCTCACTACATGCTGTCTTGCAGTCTTGCTCATTGCAAATGGGGCTAGGGTGCCTCAGTAGACACTGGGAAGATGTGGGGTGAATTCATGGTGGTGACATCACATGGTGCCATAGATAAACCCTCAACCCTCATCAGCTCACCCCACTGAATGAGTTGTTTCTCATTCATACAAACTCCAAACGGGGCGTCCTCGCTGGAGGTGTTCCTCCATATGCTGAGTGGCACAGTGGCCACCCGTCCCGTGACTGGGAGACCCTAGGCCTTCAGAGCTTCCTTCTGGGTCTCTACAGCTGCCCTCAGACAAGCGAGTAAGGTTCAGGGTGAGTCTTTAGGTGAGCCTGGGAGAACTCAGTTATGTGGTTAAACATAACCCAGACGAGGCCAGTGCTGCAGAAGGATGGGGCAGCCAGGCCTGGTAAGCAGCCGCAGTGGAAGCTGTGGTGCCCCGGGCACAGGCCGCTGTGGTCTGCTCACTGGTCCTCCCTGTTCCCGCAGGAGAAGGGCTCCACCTTCCTGCAGCTCGGCTCCTCCACAGAGCAGCAGCTGCAGGTCATTTTTGAGGTGCTGGAGGAGTACGACTGGACATCCTTTGTGGCAGTGACCACCCGTGCCCCCGGCCATCGGGCCTTCTTGTCATACATCGAGGTGCTGACTGATGGCAGCCTGGTGGGCTGGGAGCATCGAGGAGCGTTGACCCTGGACCCCGGGGCTGGTGAGGCGGTCCTGGGCGCACAGCTCCGGAGCGTCAGCGCGCAGATCCGCCTGCTCTTCTGTGCCCGCGAGGAAGCAGAGCCTGTTTTCCGGGCCGCAGAAGAGGCTGGCCTCACTGGGCCTGGCTACGTCTGGTTCATGGTGGGACCCCAGCTGGCTGGAGGCGGGGGCTCCGGGGTCCCTGGGGAGCCCCTTCTTCTGCCAGGAGGCGCCCCACTGCCTGCGGGGCTGTTCGCAGTGCGCTCTGCTGGCTGGCGTGACGACTTGGCACGTCGAGTGGCTGCTGGTGTGGCGGTGGTGGCCAGAGGCGCCCAAGCCCTGCTGCGAGACTATGGCTTCCTGCCTGAGCTGGGCCATGACTGCCGCGCCCAGAATCGCACCCACCGCGGGGAGAGTCTGCACAGGTGATTGGGGAATACTTGGAGTGCTCAGTAATGAGTGGCCCGGGATGGAACACATCCTGGCTCATTTCCTTTTCTGTAAAACGGGCACAAATGAGTGGCCCTTCTGGGATTTATCCAGGTGATTTAGAAGCCACCTGGTGTACAAAGACTTTATTACCATTATTCCACGACTTTAAGGCTGGGCACAGTGGTGGAAGACTGCAATCTTAGGTACTTCAGGAGTGGAGGCAGGAGTTCAGGGTCATCCTTGTCTGCATGTCCACTTGGAGGCCAGCCTGGGCTGTGTGAGACCCTGTCTCAAAATTGAAATGTGAGGCCAAGCCAGGCAGATCCCTGTGAGTTCGAGGCCAGCCTGGTCTACAGAGTGAGCTCCAGGACAGGCACCAAAACTACAGAGGGAAACCCCGTCTGGGGGGGGTGGGAAGGAAATGTGTAACTTTAGTTCAGTGTGGCAGTATAGACTTGTCATCCCTGCTCTGAAGATGGGGGCAGGAAACAAGGCTAAAACATCTAAAACAGAAACACCCATTTTTTTATATTTTAATGTCTTTGAAATCAAGATATGTTTTACGATCAACCAGTTATCAGGTTCTAATTGGCAGCACTTCTGGGTCTGTTTGCTTGTTTGTTTTGTAAGTAAAAGCAGTGCAACTGATAGCAACTTACCCTGGGCAAGAAAACCACCATGAGATGAGTCTCAGTGATAAAAAGACGGACGCCATGATGGAGTGGCCCATGCGAGGGCCATATAACATACAACACCCCAGAGATGAGTGTCGGGCAGTCCTGGTCGCCAGGAGCTGGGCTCCAGGTGCTAATTCTGTTTTTCTGCTCTTGGCACAGTGGAAGCTGGGTTGTGGGCATGGCAGAGAAGTCTGGTCTAGAGAAGGGGGGACGGCATAGCAAAGAAAAAGCAACATCAAGTAATGTGGAGGGCACAGGTCCCGCATCTTATTACTGAGAACATTGTCACATGGCCAGAACTGACATACTGCTTGTTCAAGGCACATCCATTCTGATTAGTTAAACATCTGTGCTGATTAGCTAGCTCCCATTCTGATTGGCTAGTGGCTGTGCCGTGCTGACGGTTAGATATTTTAATACTGCCCCTGCATGTAGCCTGGATGGACTGCAGAGTGCTGGGTGTGTCCGCCCTTGTTGCGGCCAGGGGTCCAGCTTACATACTATGATGTTAGAAGAAAACTGGTGTGACGGCATCCCTACCATGGGGAGCTTTGGGAGTGAGGAACACAGTCCATGTGCTGATGGAGCAGCAGAAGGAAGGCCATGGACCCGGAGCCCGGCTGAGTCTGGGAGAACCTAAGCGGGGAGAATGGACAACTGACTTGGGAATCAGGACCCTAGAACAAGAGGGTGAGAGAAGCATCCTGTGTTCATAAATACTGAGCGCCTGCCAGGAACTAGAGCTCATGCTGGGCCCTGGGAACACAGGGATGAATAAGACCACAGACGTCTTCAAAGAATGCAAGGGCCTAAAGAGGTGACATACAGGGATGGGAATAATGGCCACACAGTGTGAGGCTTGCAGTAATGGAGATAACAGCAGCCTTAGGGAACATGGGGGAGGAAACCTGCCCAACCAGGACATTTTTGGTTACAAAAAGCAGTCTCGTTTAAATTTCCCCAGGAGAAAGAGGGTTCATTGGAAAGATAAACATGCACAGAACAGACAGACTTTAGGAATTGAGGCCAAGTCTGGGCCAGCTACTCTTTCATCTTCTGTTTTCGTCTTTCTGATTCTGCACACACACACACACACACACACACACACACACACACACACACACACACACACGCTTACCTTTCCCAGCCTCTGTTCAGATCTTAATACATAATTTCTCCTTCATAATTTTAGAACCTACAGGTCTCACTGTAAAACAGCATCCCAAGAGGAAACTGGTTGGTGAGAATCAACCTCCCAATACAGGCTGCGTAACTGGGGGGTAAGCTGTAGTGTCAGGGAGGTTTCCCAGAGGGAAGAATCCTGAACTGAGACCTAGGGATGAACTACTGGCCAAACTTCCATCCACTGAAAAACCTTTTCCTGAGAATCTATGTGCCAAGCACTGCTTTGGCACAAAAGAATCAAATAAAGTTGGGTGTGGTAGTATACTCCTTTAATCTCAGAACTCAGGCAGAGCTCTGAGTTCAAGACTAGTCTGGTCTAGATAGTGAGTTCCAGGCTAGCCAAAGATATATACATATACATACATACTTATATATGTATGAGCAGCATATGTACCCATATATGAGAGGTAGATAGATAGATAGATAGATAGATAGATAGATAGATAGATAGATAGATAGATAGGTAAATGATAGATAGATGATAGATAGATAGATAGATAGATAGATAGATAGATAGATAGATAGATATCCTGACTCAAAACACTGAAAAAAAAAGTCACAAAAGTCCCCTGCTCTCACATAGCTAACAGTCTAATGAGGGAGAGTGGGGAAGAGGGGCGTGCAGTGAATAGGCAAGAAAAGAAAGACCTGCCCACAGGTGGCAGCCTCTTAGAGAACAATAAAAGGGGGGGGTGTGAGACTAAAGGCTCAGGGGTCAGAGCATATCGGGCAGGTAAAACTTAGAGGTTAACATGATGGGGATGGGGAAGAGCTGGAGAGATGCTCGGCGTTGAGAGCACTTTCTGCTCTTGCAGAGGACCCAGGTCGGGTTCCCAGTGCCCATATTGGGTAGCTCATAAACACACACACACACACACACACACACACACACACACACACACACACAACTGAGAGAGAGAGAGAGAGAGAGAGAGAGATCTAGAGAGAGAGAGAGAGAGAGAGAGTGAGTTCTGGGCCTGCAATACTCTCTTCTGGGCCCCTGGACACATGTGGAACACATAAATACACTCAGGCACACATGCATACACATACATTTCTTTAAAATCACTGTAGTACGTAGATGGAGCTGAGCACTGGAAGAGCTCAGTAAATAGAGGGAAGAGCAAGGCCTGAAGCCCATCATTCTTCAGCCATCTGTGGGATGGGATGGGATGGGATGGGATGGGATGACCTAAAGGAGACACAGGCAGAGCCTGCAGGTCAGCTTCAATCTAAGGGTGCTCAGCACGTTCACCAGATATGGAGGACATTCATTCCAGGTGTGATCAAAACACGTAGAAAGACCCAAGGGGTTTGGGGGGACAGGCAAACACAGAGCCTTCGTAGCACAGAACAGATAACAGGTAATGAGGTCAGGGAGGTGGGTGGGACCAAAGCTTTGTCTTGTGTGCACAGTTGTATGGCTTAAGACTCTATTCTGGGATTCTGGGAGCCGAAGGCGAGTCCTGAGGAGAGGAGGCTGGCCTAGAATCAGCTTTAGGTATAGAAAGACTTCTCTGGGGTGGGATATGGACTGGAAGGCCAGGCAGGAGGCCGGGGGAGGCACCAGGACTCTTGGGGTGGAGGACAGGTGGGGAAGGAAGAACGGGACTTGGTAGCCTGGATGGAGGGACCAGGAGCAGCCGACTAGAGAGATGGTGTGAGAGCATGCCGTACTCGGCACGGTGACGATGTTTAGGACCAGAGATGCCCAGGTGTGAGAGCATGCTGTACTAGGCACGGTGACGGTGTTTAGGAGCGAGATGCCCAGGAAGCTTCATCCCAGGAGAAGGGATATTTGAACTGAGTATTTACAACCTATCAGAGCTGGTCAAGGTGAGAGAGAGGTTTTATAGGTACAGCACAGCCCTTGCAAAGGCCTGGAGGCCGTGAACTCTCCCCAGGTTCCAAGTGACAGACACTGCAGTTAGTGCTGCTAAGAGTTTTCAGGAGGGCAGGCACCGGATAGGGAGTTTCAGGGACAGGAGAAACCATGGCATGCAAGGACTTTAAGGTATCAGCACCAAGCTGAGAGTGTGGGTCCTGGGCCTGGAGGTTCTGGCAATGAAGGGGGGGGGGACACTCAGAGATGACTGTGGCTGGCAATAGAAGAGACTCAGCCCTCAGCAACCAAGGGACCCAGCCCAGGTCCTCATGGGGCCCCTCCCTTTCTCCTGGGCAGGTACTTCATGAACATCACCTGGGATAACCGAGACTACTCCTTCAATGAAGATGGCTTTCTGGTGAACCCTTCACTGGTGGTCATCTCCCTCACCAGAGACAGGACATGGGAAGTGGTGAGTGGCCCAGACTCCAGGCATCTGTGGGAGAGCGCCTGGACCCTGGATCTGAGGGAGGAGAAACAGGTCTAGACTCTGAGGTCCTATGGAAAGTCATAGTTGATGGCCCAGGTTCTGGTCTGAAGGAGGAAGAAGCAAGCAATCTGGATTCCAGAGGAAGTTGGGACCCACAGTCCCAGAAAGCCATGACACCCTGGAATGCCCCCGGGAGGCATGACATGTCTTTCTTTTTTTTTTTTTTTCACCCCCAAGGTGGGCAGCTGGGAACAGCAGACCCTCCGCCTCAAGTACCCGCTATGGTCCCGCTACGGCCGCTTCCTGCAGCCAGTGGATGACACACAGCACCTCACTGTGGCCACGTTGGAGGAGAGACCCTTTGTCATTGTGGAGCCAGCAGACCCCATCAGCGGCACTTGCATTAGAGACTCAGTCCCCTGCCGGAGCCAGCTCAACCGTACCCACAGGTGACAGCCCCGATCCAGATGTTTCAGACTCAGAATCCCCCTCCCCAGAAGCACAGCAGGTCAGGCCCCAGCCCCTCCGCCCTCCAGCTGGGTGACCTAGGGGATGCCAAGGAAGTCTTAAGCTTCAAGCTCCCAAGAAAGCACTAGCTGTAGTTTAAGCTGCTGCTTGCCCCTCACCTCCTGGGAGAGCCTAACAGTGGCCCCCAACCTCCCCAAGCCTGGTCGCTCCCCGCAGCCCTCCGCCTGACGCCCCCCGCCCGGAGAAGCGGTGTTGCAAGGGTTTCTGCATCGACATTCTGAAGAGGCTGGCGCACACCATCGGGTTCAGCTACGACCTCTACCTGGTCACGAACGGCAAGCATGGCAAGAAGATCGATGGTGTCTGGAATGGCATGATTGGTGAGGTAAGAGGCGGGGACAGAACCTGCGGGAGAGGAATCTGAGCCTCCTAGGGACAGGGGCCAAGAGGAGGGCGTCCTGGAGCAGGGGGCGTGGCCAAAGGAGCCGGCGGGGCTTGGTAAGGGCGCTGCCTGAAGCGGGGTCCCAGGCTGAGGAGGGCATCTTCAGGGGTGGGCCAAGAGAACTGCAAGTTCTGAGGTGGTCAGAAGGGTCCTTGGAGAAGGGGCTAGGAGCGGAACTCCTGGGAGGTGGGCGTGGGACGGTAGAATTCATGGGGAGGGCTTTGAAGGGTGGGACTCCAAGAAGGGGGCGGGGTTGGGAGGCTGGATCCCTAGGCCTTAAGCAAGTGAAGTGGACAGTGGGTGGGGTAGAGGAGACCTGCTCCTGCTTCTGCTTTCTCTCCCTTACTTCCCCCGCCCCTCTGTTCCCTTCCTCACTCATCAACCAGACCTCCTAGCCTGTCTCCCACATCATCACTGTCTCCCAGGGTCAGGCTTTGCCCAGCGCTGGCCTCTGTGCCCTGAGCGGCTTCCCTTGCCAACTCCTCGATCCACCCCAGGTGTTCTATCAGCGTGCGGACATGGCCATCGGCTCTCTTACCATCAATGAGGAGCGGTCCGAGATCGTGGACTTCTCCGTCCCCTTTGTAGAGACGGGCATCAGCGTCATGGTGGCACGCAGCAATGGCACTGTATCCCCCTCTGCCTTCCTGGGTGAGCCAGCCAGGACAGGGGTTCACACTTAGCCGAGGCTGGGCCACTGTCTCCAACAGCGTGGGCCCTGGGTCCCATCCCAGGGGTGCCTGTACTGGTGTGTGACTCCCATGGAGTGACATCACTTCCCGGCTTCAGTTCCTGATCTGAACGGTGGGAGAAACACTTTCCCTGGCAGAGCTTTCCACAGGAAGCTTAGTAAGCATGAGCTCAGAAGCTGTCCTTTGTAGTGCCTTCCACAGCTCTGATCCTGGGTTTGCACTCACGGTTGTTCCGGTTTGGTTTGGTCTGGTTTGGTTTGGTTTTTTCAGACAGGGTCTATGTAGTTCTGGCTGTCGTGGAACTCAGGACTCAGAGAGACCCACCTGCCTCTGCCTCCTGAGTACTGGGATTAAAGGTGTGCAGCACCACACCCGACCAGATTTTTTGTTTTGTTTTGTTTAAAGGTTTATTTTTATTTTATGTGCATTGGTGTTTTTCCTGCATGTATGTCTGTGTGAGGGTGTCAACTCCCCCTGGAACTGGAGTTATAGACAGTTGTGAGCGGCCATGTGGGTGCTGGGAATTGAACCCCGGTCCTCTGGAAAAACAGCCAGTGCTCTTAACCAATGAGCCATCTCTCCATCCCAATAACAAATATATGTATGTATATATACATACATATATGTGTGTGTGTATACACACATATATACATATATATATATACACGTATATATATATATATATGTGTGTGTATATATATATACAGAGACAGGGTTTCTCTGTGTAGCTCTGACTGTCCTAGAATTCACTCTGTAGATCAGGCTGGCCTTGAACTCACAGAGATCCACTGGTTTCTGCCTCCTAAGTGCTGAGACTAAAGATGTGCACCACTACCTCCCGCCGGATTTTTGTTTTTTAAGATATGGATGTACTATGTAGCTTAGATTGCCTTGAACGGGCAACTACTCTTTATGTCCATCTCTCTCTCTGTCTCCTGAATTTGAGGATTTATATTCTTCTTTTCTTAAAGAGAGCCCACCAAGGTCAGGTATACCCAGGCTAAAAAATGTGTAGGGATTTTGTTTGTTTGTTTAGGTTTTTTTCCAGTGCGGAGATTGAATCCGGGACCTGGAGGACTGTGGTGACCCAGACAGTCTTGTCTCCGAGGGGCTATCTGCTTCCTTGGGGGTTACAGACGAGATCCTTTCCAGTGGTGATAGAGACCATGAGAAATTAGGCTGAGGTGAAGAGAGAGGCGCAGGGAGAGGGCTGGTGTGGGTAGGAGAGGCCTTTTTGAGGAAAGGATTTCACCTCTGTCAAGATCTGAAGGAAAGAACATGGGAGGCAGGCGGCAACCAGCGTGGAGTGTGTGAAGACTGCCTGAGACATGTACGACTGGCCCGTGTGGCTGGTGAGGAGATGGGTAAAAAAGGCGGCCGGAAGGCTGAGGGGCGTGATAGAGCTCGCTGGACTGTGGACACTCTGATGGCGAGTGTGGCCTTCACCCTGTCTGTGGTAGCAAGGGCTTGCCTTGAGAAGGTAGTGAGGAATGTGTGCTCAGATGCGGGTTGCCGATAGTTCTGTGGAAGCAGGAAGCTGGTAAGGGGGCTGCTGCAGTGGCCCGTGACAGGAAGGATGGAGGTGTGCAGAAGCCTGGCAGCAAGGCCCAATGCGTGTGGGATTGGGGTGTGGCCAGGAAGCCACACTGTGTTACACTGGGTGGATCTCTTGAGCTGGAGACAGCAGAAGTGGGCAGGAGGACAAGGCCAGCAGGTCACATCCGTCCCCCCTTTCCTCTGGGCAGTCTGAGCAAGGCTCCTCAGAGAGAGAGAAGACAGGAGGAGAAGGATCCCTTCCCCTGGGGCCCATGAGGCTGGGGAGATGGTCCCAGAGATTAGACCAGGCTTGCTCCTTGCTGGCCATAGGGGTGGAGAGGACAGGCCCAAGGAGTCTGAGGGTCAGGAGCAAGGGGCAGGGTCAAGTTTGTCGTCTATGAACAAGGAAGATGGAGGGCAAGGAGTGTGGCCTGGGCGGGGTTGTCATGGATGACAAGATGCAGAGCCTGGGATGGGATGGATGGCCCTGAGGGAGGGCTGAAAAGCAGAGACTTAGGTCCTGGGCTCAGTGAACATTTAGTAGGCAGCTAAATTAGGGGAGGAAAACCACAGAAATGGTCGCAGTAGCTCTCTTTGAGAAAGATTGCCACAAGGAGTCTAGGTACTAATAGGCTGTCCCCGAAGTGGGGGCCAGAAAAGGGCAGAGAGCAGGATGGAGTCAACTGGGCTCCCCTGGTCCCCCAAGCCCTCGCTTGGCTGACGCCTCCCGTGTCCCCAGAGCCCTACAGCCCCGCTGTGTGGGTGATGATGTTCGTCATGTGCCTCACCGTGGTTGCCGTCACCGTTTTCATCTTTGAGTACCTCAGTCCTGTGGGCTATAACCGCAGCCTGGCCACAGGCAAACGTGAGTCCCCTCCTACCTGACCCTCCCGGAACTCTGTTTCCCAGGAGCCCCGGGGATAGAGCTAGGAACGGCAGTCCTTTCTCCTCTCCTGGGGAGTGGAAGGCCTGTGAGGTCCATGTCCTGGCCTGGCCCCCCACAGGCCCTGGTGGTTCGACCTTCACCATTGGGAAGTCCATCTGGCTGCTGTGGGCCCTGGTGTTCAACAACTCGGTGCCGGTGGAGAATCCTCGGGGCACCACCAGCAAGATCATGGTTCTGGTGTGGGCCTTCTTTGCCGTCATCTTTCTCGCCAGCTACACAGCCAACCTGGCCGCCTTCATGATCCAGGAGGAGTACGTGGACACCGTGTCCGGGCTCAGTGACCGAAAGGTGTGTACAGGGGCCAGGCTCACCCGTCCCACCCAGAGCAGAGGGGTTCCTGAGACACTGCCCAAGAGGGATTCTAGAGCAGTAGAGATGGAAGGTTTTGGAAGGAGATGAACGATTTACACCATCCCGGGGAAAGGGTGTCCCCCAACATCCCAGGAGCAGTAATGCCAAATAGGATTTTCTAGACAAGTGCCTCCCTCACACTAATGAAGACTGAATGTGTGACCCAGCTAATTCCTTGGAGACTGTGCTTGAGTGAAATGTATCAGCAATGAATGACTGGGAATGTGGGAATAACACTTAACACCAGGACACACAGGAGTCAGTCGCAAGCTAATAATACATGCCTACAACTGCAGCCTCCAGAGGCAGAGGCAGGAGGATCACGAGTTCAGGGATAGGCTGGCTACATAGTGAGTCCCTGTCTCAAATAAGAACAGCAATACAGTCAACTCCAAATGTTTACCGATTAGATTCAACATGCATAAAACCATTCCATCGAAATACTCCAAATGCCCACCCCCCCGGTTTGCACTCTTGCCTTGCGGTGCCCATCCCTGGCACATGGGGCCAGCAGCCATGAGGGACACTGTGAGATTACAGTGGCTGACCAGTGTCCCAGTGTCTGAGGGCTGTGGAATCGATGCAACAGGTTGCATTAAGCACGGTTTTCAGTGGAATGGAGGTGGAACAGCCGAAAAACAGACCATGTTGGTGGTACCTTCTATTGTGCGGGGAGTGTGGTTCTGCCAGCACTCCGAGCCAGCACAGCCCTGCGGCTACGTCTGTGCTTGGCACCCAGAGCCATTTCTGAATAGCCTGGTCAGCCCACTCCTAATCCAGCAAACTAAGGGCTGGCTCTCCAGAATGGGACTTTTGATTTGGGGGTTCCCGGAGGGTACCTTGACAATCCCCCCTTCTGTTCCAGTTCCAGCGGCCCCAGGAGCAATACCCACCCCTGAAGTTTGGGACGGTGCCCAACGGATCCACGGAGAAGAATATCCGCAGCAACTACCCTGATATGCACAGCTACATGGTGCGATACAACCAGCCGAGAGTGGAGGAGGCCCTCACACAGCTCAAGGCAGGGTCAGCGCAGACTCGGGCAGTGGGGCCCCTAGAGCATTTGGGGAGGGGTGGGGCTCGTGTCTGAGTCAGCTTGGGGCACTTCACTAACGGGGCTCGGGAGAGTCAGGGCTTCTGTGCTTCGTAACTTTAGACACTTGATTCCGTGCTCTGGATTTATTTCTTGGGTGTACAGTGATGATCACAGAGGCATCTCCTTGATATAAGAACAAAGTTTGGTCAGGAGTGGTGGTGCCTTTAATTCTGCCATTTGGAACTGAAGTGGGAGCAGGTCTTGGTGAGTTCCAGGACAGCCAGGAAACAAACAAAGCCTGTCTCAAAACAAACAAAACAACATAGTTAATCCACACAGAACGGTGGCCAGAGCACAGGGGCTCTTTGAAGATGGAGTTTTCTTTGGGCCACCAACTCACAAAAATATGACATGGAGACTTATTATTAATTATGAAAGCTTGGCCTATAGCTTAGGCTTGTCCCACTAGCTCTTATAACTTAAATTAACCTATTTATATTAATCTACATTTTTGTCTCATGGCTTTTTACCTCTCTTCCATCTTGCACCTCCTGTTTCCTCTCCACGTCCCCTGGTGTCTGTTACACGCCTAGATTCATCTCTCTTGCTCTCTTTCTTCCTGGAAGTCCTGCCTAACCTCTTCCTGCCTAGCTATTGGCCATTTAGCTCTTTATTAAACCAATCAGAAGGCACCTTGGCAAAAACACATCTTCACGTGTACCAAAAGATTATTCCACAACAGCTCTTTGTTGTAATTATTGTATCCTTATCATCAGTTCTGAATTCTGTAATGAATACTTGGGTTATAGGGAAGGGATTGTATTTTTTTTTTATGTTAGCTCCCTAAATCATAGGGATAAAGTTAAATTCAGTCCCCAGAGTACAGCCCCCTGGTATGGCAAACCTAGACAGGGCCTGGATTGTGGCTCAGCAGCAGAGGGCTGGCCTGGTGTGTCCCGAGGCCTGGGTTCGTTCCCCAGCATTGCAGTTTCCTGCTCTGAGTACAGTAGCTCTCTTCTCCTCATTTATTAGTCTTTCATCATGCTTCTTCTCTGATCCCCTTTTTGTGCTGGACATTAGACAGACATTTTCTGTTCTCAGTTACTCAGGGACTAGAGTGAAAAATGAGCATCAGACACAAACTGACAGGGTCACCAGGCGTCAGAGTGGCCTTCTCGGCAGGGTCACAGTCACCAGGAGTCAGAGTGGCCTTCTCGGCAGGGTCATGGTCACCAGGAGTCAGAGTGGCCTTCTCGGCAGGGTCACGGTCACCAGGTGTCAGAGTGGTCTTCTCGGCAGGGTCATGGTCACCAGGAGTCAGAGTGGTCTTCTTGGCAGGGTCACGGTCACCAGAGCATCAGGTGGCCTTCTAGGACGAGGGAGCATGTGTATGCTCTCAGGGGACAGAGCCTTGCAGGCAGAGGCGTAGGTGTGGAGGGACATCTGGAAGACCAGGTGGCTGAGGGGCGGGGACCTAGAGTGAGGGGCAGAGGAGTGTGGGACTAATGGTGACCCCTGAGAACATCAGAGTTGGCTTTTGTGCCAAAGTGGTGAGACACCTTCGTAGGAGACTAAGCAAAGAAGCCTCAGTTCTTGTCCCCAAGTGCCCTTCACTGCAGTGGAGAATGGTAGAGACCATAGGGGAGCAGGGCAGTGTGAGCCACTGTCATCCGGAACTCACCTCTGGCTCCCCTCAAGCAGCCGTCCTGCCGGACCTGTCACCCCTTTGTCTCGGTGGATGTTGACTGCAGGAAAGGAGCCCAGGCAGCTGCGGGAGGCACAGCACAGGCTCAGCCCCAGGATACCTGGAGCCTCTGCAGCCCAAGTGTCCACTCGTGTACACTCCTGGAGCAGTCCTGGGGGAGGGTGGTGCCTGTACTTGGAAGCCATGGTCATCAGCAAAGCAGATTCCCGGATTGGAAGGATGCTAAAACCAGTTCTAACACACTGGTTCATGCGTGGCATCCCAGCACTTGAGGCGGGAGGCCTGAGGGTTTAAGGCCATTCTGAACTATACAGCGAGGCCCTGTCTCGAAAAAGAAAACCAAACAGTGTTGGGCTAGCAGGACAGTTGAAAGCTACTACTAAGAGCCAAACTCTTTACACATTTCTACCAAACATGCAGCATAGACCTTCGTGCTCTTTTGGTTGCCCCTGGTCACAGGAAGGCTGTTGCTGCTCCGTGAAGCACATCCTGGTTCCAAGCATGGAGGAGGAAGTGTAAGAGTGCAAGGTTGCCGGGCAGTGGTGGCACACGCCTTTCATCCCAGCACTTGTGGGGCAGAACCAGGCGGATCTCTGTGAGTTCGAGGCCAGCTGGGTCTATAGAGCGAGATCTAGGAAAGGCGCCAAAGCTACACAGAGAAACCCTGTCTCAAAAAACCAAAAACAGAGAGTGGAGAGTCTTCTTGGAAACCTTTGCCTTTTTATTGAAAAAGGTTTCTCAGGGACTTCTACGTATTTCTAAGAACCCATCAAGCAACCACACAAAGTTATCATCAGGGAAACAGGAAAGACGAGTATGTGAGCCGAGAATGAGGCTGTGAACTGAGACGCAGTCTCAGCATCTGCCAGAGTCCTGCCCCATGTTTTAGGGGTTTTGATATCTGTCTGTCTGTCTGTCTGTCTGTCTGTTTTTGCCTAGCCAGTGAAGTTCTCTCCTGTAGCTCTCCCTCTCTGCCTCTCGATCCTCTCTTTCTGGTCACAAGGACTCTGTGTCCAAACCCTCCATGAGCCAGTGAGCCTCCCTTGGGCCTGGGCTTTGCACTCCTTCTTCAGCCAGCTCGGCTTTGTCTCCTGCAGTGCGTGCTCTGGCTGTCAACCCTTGGTGGGGTTCCTCCTTCTCCACCCTCTCCCTACACCCACTATCCATTCATATGGCAGGTGCTGCTGAGGCTCCAGGCAGGCACCCTGAAAACTTCCCAGGACTCTATGCCAAGGAAAACTGTGGACTTTAAGCTAGGAAGCCAGCATGGTGGCCATCCTGCCTTGACAGATCGCTCTAAATAACCCAAAGGCAAAAAGAAAATTCAAGTTAGGAATGTGACTGGATGGCTCCTTCCATCTCCCAGGGCCACAAGGACTGACTGGCCTGCCTTTCCCTAAAGCCAAATCCTTGCCTTGCCTTTCTTCGGGGATGCCCACCTTCCTCGGCTCATGGCTCCCAGTTGCTCAGGCCTCTCCTCGTTAACAAGGACTACAGTGAGTGTAGAGGTTTTCCAAATTACACCGATTCCCAGAGCAGAACCTAAAAGGGAGTATTCCGGTGGGTATAACTCTCGGCCCTAGGGACTCTGGGCTCTGTGGAGACACAGAAAAAGACGCCCTTTCCCCAAGGACTGGACCCAGCATGCACTCTTCAGTTCCTTGTTTGGTTGGGTCTTTTTGTTTTGTTTTGTTTTTTGAGACTGGTCTCGGAACTGTCCTGGAACTCACTATGTAGACCAGGCTGTCCTCAGCCTCACAGAGCTCTGCTGCCTCAGCCTCTGGAGTGCTGAGACAGGAAGCGGGAGTCCGGGCCACGCAGCGGTTTTTGTGGCAAATGTTCACTGAGTACCTCTAATGTGTTAGTCGTTCCTCTGCCAGATGCCCAGGTCCCACTGGAGAAGGGGAGGCAGGAGCGGCGGACGGTTGTGAAGGATGCCCTTTGCGGAGTGGGGCAGGGCTGGAGATGGGTCACTGAATGCTTGCTGTGCAGGCCTGGGGACTTGGGTTCAAATCCTCACGACTCAAATGAGAGCTGGGAGTGGCAGCATGTGGCTGTAACCCAGCACTGCCAAAGCCAAGCTCTCGGGTCTCACTAGCCACACTATCCGATGGGAGAGCTCCAGGGCCAGTGAGGACCTGTGATCACCAGCATCTGCAGAGAAAGCTTGGTGTGCCTGTGCGCACCCTGGAACCCAGCACTGCGGGACACAGAGACAGGAGGATGGCTGGGGCTCCCAGTCAGTGAGAGACCCGGTCTCAAGGGAACAAGGTGGACAGTGCTAGAGCAGAGCACACTCAGTGTCGTCCCCTGGCCCCGTGCACTTGCACAGGCACAAACATCATACACACCAACACACACATGAAAGGTGGACAATGATTGAGGACATCCAGTATTGACCTCTGGTTTCTACACATATGTGCACACACATCCGTATAAACATGTACATCACACACACACACACACACACACACACGAGAGAGAGAGAGAGAGAGAGAGAGAGAGAGAGAGAGAGAGAGAGAGAGAGAGAGAAGGGGTGGGGAACAGAGGTTGGTCCTTTGAAGTCATTTCCTCCTGGAGTCTGGCCAGAGGTGAGGTGCCTGGTCTTTTGAACTTGCCATTTGCCTGTGCTGAGACCCTGTGGTTCTGGCCCCCGGGCGGGCCTGGCATTGCTAGTTTTCAGGACTCCAGCAGCAGTAGGTTCCACACCAGGTGACCTGGGTTTGAGTGTAGCCAGCCGTGGACCCGACGCACCTTAGTTGAGCTAGTATGCTTTTGCTTTCGCCGCCTTAACTCAAGGTCAGCAATCCTCGGAGCTGGGCAAGTGGCTGGGGAAACGGGGGGTTCCGTCTCAGAACTCTTCTCCCACTGCCCTGCCCCACCTTGGAGTGGGCGGCCCCAGCCCTGCCCCACCTTGGAGTGGACGGCACCAGCCCTGCCCCACCTTGGAGTGGACGGCACCAGCCCTGCCCCACCGCCCCCTTTGTTCTCAGCGACCCCAGCCTCCATTGTGTCCTTTCTAAACAGCTCTTTCCTCTGCCTTGAAATGGTCTGTGCTCAGCACTCATAGCTGGGGCTGAAGTGCAGCCCTTCTCCTCCTCCTCCTCCTCCTCCTCCTCCTCAGGTCAGGGTTTGTGCTATCCCTCCCTCCTTTCCTCTGCAGCAGAGCTGGGAGCTAAGTGTGTAAGTCGGGGTGTTCTGGGAGCCACAGGAAAAGAGAGGTGAGCTCACTCTCATGTTTGTTACTCCAACTCAAAAGTGTCCTCTCTCTAACGAGTAACTGAT